CGGCGCGCCTGGCTTAGCGTGCTGCTCGGACTCGTGCTGGGCTTCGTGCTGGCCTCGCGGCTCGTCCTACCCCGCGCCTCCGACCTGAAGCGAGTGGGCCCGCGGCGTCGCCCCAGCCCCGAGGGCTGCCGGCCCGGGCAGGCTGCAGCGGCGTCCCGACCCGGCGGGGCGCGGGGCGATGCGCGCGGGGCGCAGCTCTGGTCTCAGGACCCGGCCACAGAGGGCGGCCCGCGTGACAGGAACTTTCTCTTCGTGGGTGTCATGACCGCCCAGAAATACCTGCAGACCCGCGCTGTGGCTGCCTTCAGGTGAGCCCCTATTTCTTGGACACCCATCTCCTGCATCCAGCATCCTGGCAGATGGCCCTACCGGTTCTCTGGAGGTTTCCAAGGCAGCCACTGTCCAGATCCCAGGCTCTGGTACCCTCCCGCGCCTCTGGGCATAGGCAACAAGGGTTAGAGAAAGGAAGGTGAAAGCAGTGCTCCAGGGTAGGGTTTGAGAATCAGATGATTAAGGTCAGCCCCGGTTGGGTGTGCCTCTCACTCAGATCTCCTACAAGTCGGCCTCCATGTCCAAGAGTTCTTTGTTGTAAGGACTATAAGGTGGTGGGAAAACTCATAGCACCCACAGTGCTTGTGAGATCGGAGGTGTTTAGGTTATAATCTGAATCTCTAAAATGGGCACTTTGTCCCAGGGAAGAGAGCACCTGAGAAAATTATTCTGGCTAGAGTCTTTCCATACATACTACTAGATTTCACTTTTAGAGGCACCCCTTTAAGTAAATGGGGTGCTCACCGTGCACCTGGCTACACTGGTTTGTTAAGTACAGAGAAACAACCTTGGGGGAAAAGAAGTTTGTGTGATAGATTCGATGCTAGATAGCATTCCTGTGTTCCCTAGCTCAGTTATAGGTGTATGCACATTATCCAGTAACTAGGCTCTAGTTGGCTGAATGAGTTGTAAAAATGACTGCGATCATGTTCAGGATTAACAAAAGGATTAGCCAAAGTGGCGTTTAGAAGGGAGATTTTGGAATGGAGGGCATAGTTAGAATGGCATTTGCATTGGAGTGAATTTGAAGTAGAAGAGGGGCTTAGACTCAAGTGAAGGGTTTAGTGGAAACTGTGAAGTACAGAAACGTTTACTGTATGGATAAAGTTTGGAGGCCATCCAGCCACAGTGTTGGGAATGGTTTCAGAGCATGAATGTTCTGGGCATGAACTTCAAGCAAGGCTGCACAAGTTGCTGTTCATTTTAAATGTATAACCAGTACTTTATAACTTAAGCTTTTAAGACCAGTTTCTAGTCCAAGTTTTCAGGCTGGTATAAGGGAACAAGCATATCCAGATCTCCCCTTCCTTTAAGGCAAGTGAGGAATTGGAAAGAGGGTGAGAGAGCAGTGAAGAACATATGCCCTATGAATGGCTTGGTCACCATTCTTGCCGCTTCTGAAGTTAAGAACATTCTGCTAAGAAAGATCATGAGTGGCCAAGAGAGTGGAGAATGCAGGTAGTTCTGTGTGTGGCCCAATGGAGCAGTTTGGGGACCAGCAGGTTAAATTCTCTCTCGAATGTTCCATGATTTAACATCTATATCAAAAACTAAGGAAGAAGGGCCAGCCAGATGCCTCAATTGGTATAGGTGATTGCTACAAAGCCTGAAAATGTGAATTTGATCCCTAGAACCCACATAGGGGAAGGAAAGAACTGACCTGAAAGTTGTCCTCTGCCATCCACATGCATGCTGTTGTGTGCATGTGCCCCCCCACATACATACATACATATACAACACACGCAATAACTAATAAATGTAAATACAATAAAATAAATGTTTTAAAATCTTTTATTTTTAAGCATGTGTATATGTGTGTGTGTTTATCTGTATGTGCACATTGGTACTGAAGCCCACGGAAGCCAGAGGTGTCAGATCTCCTGGAGCTGGAATTGCAGGAGGTTGTTAACCACCTAATGTGGGTGCTGGGTATTGAACTCAGGTCCTCTGGAAGAACAATACATGCTCTTAACCACTGAGCTATCTCTCCAGCCCAAAATAGAATAAATGTGTTTTTTGAGAAGGAGTTTGAATAGATTATAGGATTCTTTATCCCTTACCCCCAACAAATAGATTTTTTTAAAATTATTTTTTTACAATTAAAGTTACAGTTTTAACAATATGCAAAATACTACAGTAATTCAGAT